TGACATAATGTCAGGTCTACACAGACAAGAGATACAGCACAACTCCTACTTTAATTATCACAAAGAGAAACATAAGTTTCGCGAAGAAATACATCGAAACTAAGAGCTGTTTTAATTTTATGTAAATAGTCGGTCAACACAACCGGGAAGACAACAGTGGAAACGTGTAGTAATATTTTCAGCTATTATTTTTAGACAGCAAAATCATAGTTTCATTCGAAATTGCTGAAAACTGCACATAATTATTGTTAATTTTTGGACAAGACATTTGAATGACACAGATCACAGACTGAGTGATACAGGTCACAACCAAAATGTTTTAAACTGTTACAATATACATTCTTGCAAGACAATACTCCTTGACATTGACCACCTTACCAAAAATGGTTTCAAATTCACCGCATTAACTGAATAGTCCCTATACTCACCAGATAACCAATAGAAATACTTTCATGGTAATTGTTCTGGTGAACTTTCCGCTATGGTACCTAGACTTTATGAATTTAAACGCAGTACTAGATTAGCGGCAAGCTCTCATTATTTTACAGTTTGCTAGATGTAACCGTAAGTTCTACACTAACAGTTTCTTCTATCGCACTTCTTGCTTGTGGAACTCTCTCCCGACTTCCCAATTAACTTTGATCTTCAAAAAGTTAAATACAATGTCCATGGTTTTCTTCCGTTTTCTTAATTTCTGCTCTTTTATTATTCTCCCTCCTTAATCATGCTTCCTTTTTCTGATATTCTCTAACACTCAGTCACCCTTACATCTTAGTGGCTTTATCGCCTTGCTTGAGGTGAAATGTTTAGAAAAAATATATTCTTTTGAGCGTCTAATTAAGTGCAATGTCAATCGTTATCTGTCTTCTTGATTTTTGTTCATTTATTGTCCTCTTTCCTTAATAGTAGTTTTTTTCTCATGCTCTCTAACACTCAGTAACCTCTTGCAACCCTAATGGCTTCATTGCCGTGCTTGGGGTGAAATGATAAAAAAAACTTCTAGTTCATCATTAAAAAAAGATGTATGTAAGAATTGTAAAGAATGTTCAAGCAAGACGCTCTTTGGTATTAAAAAGAAATACAGCAATATGATAGAGTCACTGTGAACATGATCTCGTCAGTGGCTACATAGTATGTGATATGCCAGGCCTACGTACGGTTTTCAAATCAGAATCGACCCTCTTCTAAACTAGTCACTAACCACGGTTATAGAGCCCGGTCTACCTTGTTATTTAACTCATGGTTGGGGAGAGAAGAAATAGGTGTATGTTTTTCCCAAGGGTATTTGCGAGAGAATGTAACGAACTCATCACACCGACTTCTCGTTCCGTGTCGTGGGATACAGTGGAAAATTTAGCAAAATCAGTGGATGAAAAACCGAAACAGATAACGCTTATTAACACGTGAAGAATATAAAATAATAATTTATTCATGTGTATGCGTTAATCAAATATATTTTTCTGTAGCCAATATCTTTTGGATTAATTTTTAAATAAAAGATTTTGCATAATAAAACCCAACACCTTTGTTATCATTTCACCTTAAGTAATGCCGCTAAGACGCAAGGTTGAAGAGAATGAGCAAACCGTAGTGAGGAGAAAGGACAATAAAAGAACAGGTTTCAGGAAGCCAGATGGCGATTGACGTTGCATTGAAATTTTTGAAGATTGTAGGTGGCAGAGAAGCAAGAAATCGGAAGAGAGTTCCACAGTCGAGAAGTGCGAGAAAAGAAACTATTAGAATATAACTTACGGTTACAATTAGCTATTCAACATTAAAACGATGACAGAATAGTATTACAACAGTATAGCATTACGCTTAACTTCACGCGGTCGAGGTACCAATGAGGAGGGGTTCATTAGAACAAATAGCATGAAAAATAATTATAGGAAAAAATAAAACAAAAAAAAAAAAGAGGGAAGTCACGTCACGGCGGTAGGAAAGAGACTGAAGCCGTGATGCCAGGTCAGGACCAATTACAGATCCTTCTTTGGATTTTGTCGCGAATCTGGAAATACAATGGGGTGGGAGGAATAAATATTCGTACACTTGAAAAATTGTATTTTTATAAATGTAAAAGCCTTAAATAAAACAAATCTAGGCACATTTTATGGATAAAGACACATACTATTAAAAAATAAAATAAACTTAATTAATTCTTATTCTAACAGAAATTAATGCATTTTTTTTTATTCTAACTGGTGAAAAAAGTATTCGTACAAAACAAAAAAAGCATATTAACTTAATTTAATATTTTGTGGAATATTCTTTATTGAGTTCAACAGTCTATTCCTGTACGTCTCAACTAATGATTTGCACACATTGAGTGGTATTTTGTCCCATTCTTCTTGGCATATTGTCTTCAAATTCTTGATATGTTTTGGAGCACAAGACCAGATATGGCAGCAACATTCAATGCACGGACGAATGGTAGAGTTATAAATGGTCAGGGTGGATTCTGATGAAAAAGAAATTGTCTTCTCTATACAATAAACTGGCCTTCTTCAAAGCAGACATAACAACTGATTCAATATAATCGCTTCACTTCATGTCAGTAGAAATCGTGAGTCCAAGATGGCGCAATGAGTTGCTTTCCTACAGGTTGATTTCAGACATGCTGCTGGCGAGCAAAAATAGCAATTACATTTTGGATGCGTGAAAATTTACAAGATATTTCTTGTCCTTGTTAACAAATGACTGGAAGTCTGTGTCTATTAACAAATCTTCAAAACAACAAGGACTGTGAAAAATTCCATATCGCAAATTAAGTCTCACAAATCTAAAAGGCAAGAAATACAATAAGTCTAGCCAGAAATCAGAATCACAAGTCAAACGTCAAAAGTCCAGGAGGAAAAAAATTGGGTCAAAATATTTAACTTCAGTTATGTGCCATGCGTGATACACGTTTAGGCGATCATGTATCTTTCGACACATGACTGACGAAGCAGATTTTTCCCGCAGTAGGTTGCCATTTATTTCTGCGGTAGATCAGTTGCCATCCAAGGCTATAGAACCCGGTATGGGGGAAGAAGGAAATTCATACCTTTCCCAAGGGCATTAGCACGTAAGTGAATGTAATAGATTCAACCGGAATTCGAACTCGGCTCTCCTATTTTTCAAACCGAGCTGCTACTCCATCGTTTACAGATCCTAATACAGCGGACTCACTTTGGTTCATGAATTAAAAAAACACCCTCCGCGTCAAGAAAAAACAACGGCTTTTATTGAAGAGGTAAAAACTGGTCGCTATAGTTGGGGAGGATAAAACAAATCTTATGTGATGTAGTAGTTATTTTTCTTTTTCTTCGTCAAACAGTGCAGAGGGCACGGATTCTTTTTTGTTGCAGGTGATTTTCCCGTTTGTCACAAAGTCATTTTCGTGAGCAGTTACTAGTTTTATTATGTCGGAACTATCAGACTTACTATTAAGACAACAGTTAGAAAGAAAAGAATACCGAGCTGTTACTTGACACCTGTCCTTCTTTACGGCAGCGAATGTTGGACGATTTCCTCAAATAGACTAGAGGCGACAGAGATGTGGTTCTACAAGATGGATACTAAGGATATCATGGACCGAGCGCGTGAGCAATGATGAAGTCTTACCGAGGATGCAAACAAGGAGGAGGCTTATACTTAACATTAGGAAGAGACAGATGAAGTTTCTGGGACACATAATGAGGAAGAAGGGTCTGGAGAATCTGATACTCACGGGTCGGATAGAGGGAAAGAGAGAGAGAGGAAAACAACGCATTACATACCTAGCAGGCTTGAGCAAGTGGATGACAGAACGTGGTCTGGGGGAGGAAGCAGAGGGAAGGAACTTGCTGAGAGCTGCAACCGATACAGGGAGGTGGACAGCCATGATCGCTTACGTTCTGAAAGGGCATGGCACATAAAAAGAAATAAATAGTTATTCCATCAGCATAAATAGAGTGTTGGGAACTAAACAAGATGGTATTTTAAAAAAAATAAACATAGACTGAAAGTCGCATAATATATTCCTCATATAATCACGCCCTGAAAGACTTTGTTTTATATTCTGTTGGCTGATACCAATTTCATTATGATATATGCAAATGTGAGTAGGCGCATATGTGAATATGGGTGCAGGCATGCACATATATACAACGACATAGCTATATAAATATATGCTTATGGGGCGAGTGGGGCACCTCGACGTGGTGTAATGTTTAGCAAGCTTGTTTCAATAAAAGTTTGATACTCACTAGGTGCACCATAATTTCGAGCCTTTGAAAATCACCAGGGCACTTCGACGTAGTGTAATGGTTAAAAATCTTGTCTCGCTAGATCAATTACGACTGAATAGTGAGTTCGATCCAGACTGGGTGCCCCATACATTCGGCCTTGTGCCACATCTAAGCTACGCTTAGAAAATCATAGAGCGCTTCGCCGTAGTGTAATGGTTAGCAAGCTTATCTCGCTAGAACAATTACAACTGAATAGGTGCCCCATACTTTCGGCCTTGTGCCACATCTAAGCTACGCTTAGAAAATCATTTGCCGAAATTGTTTCAATTGAAGCAAAAAATAACTATGTTTATGTAGCGTGTGAATATTGTATAGGTTTGTGTTATACAGTGTAACCCGGATATAACAGACCAGGATATAAGAGAAACCCGGATATAAGAGAGATTTTCTCTGGTCCCAAAGTGTTCCCATACTTACCTAAGCAAAATAGACCAAACCCGGATATAAGAGAAACCCGGATATAAGAGACTTCTTCTCCAGTCCCGACAACTCTCTTATATCCGGGTTACACTGTATATAGTAACTATGAACACTAATGGGTATGTCCCAATCTTCATAAATATGTTGGATTCTTTTGTTAAGTGGAGGTAATATGCTAAGTAGTCCACCACTGGCTGTGGTTTACCCACTTCACGCTGCTGGCGAGTATTGTATTTTGTTGATGTTATAAAGATTACCGTTTCATTTCCAACCTCCGTTTTGGTTATTCCTCATTCAGTAACCTTTTCCTACTTACAACCGTCTGATTGTAAAAGAAGGAAGAACAAAGAAAGGAAAGCGGAAAGAAATATTATAAAAGTTAAAAGGAAAGACGGAGAGGTAAAGAAGAAGGAGCAGCACAAAGTAGAAACAGAACCTGAAAGCGAAAAGGCAATCTGTCAAAACAAAATAGAAAGAAAGCTTTAAATTTCTTATATTATTGTTTTCATTTTGATAATGTCGATGGCAAATATCTGTAATGAGGCAAAATTTACATAAACAATCGTAGCGATAATTAGACATTTGTGACATAAGAAAGGTGCACAATCATACGATAGCCAACTCCCTAGACTCCAAACATAGCCAGGTCAGACAATGACGAACCCTGTGTACGGGGATCTCCCCCACCGCAAGAAGTGAAAAGAGAACAATTTGGAATGATTAAATTATCACATTTAGAAAATGTATATTTTTTATCACTTTTCTTTGTGTAGATTAAACGAAACTAAAATTATTTAGCTATAAACATGAAAAACAATAGACAATTGCTCAAATTCACAGCAGTAGCTATTAATAAGAGCGATACTGATAAGAAAAAAAGTTTTAAAACAGATGAGAAATGGCGATTATAGAAAGTAAAGAAAATTCGGTGGAAAGTAAAAGTGGACGGTAAGATAAAACAACTCATTTAAAAGGAGACGAGATAGATAGAGAGAGAGACAGACAGACAGACAGAGAAGGAGAGGGAGAGAGAAGAGAAGAAGGAAAGAAAGAAAGAAAGAAAGAAAGAAAGAAAGAAAGAAAGAAAGAAAGAAAGAGTGAGAGAAAGATAGACAGACAGAGAGAGAGAGAAGGAGAGAGAGAGAAGAGGAGAGAGAGAAGAGAAGAGAAGAGAAGAGAAGAGAAGAGAAGAAAGAAAGAAAGAAAGAAAGAAAGAAAGAAAGAGTGAGAGAAAGATAGACAAACAGAGAGAGAGAGAGAAGGAGAGAGAGAGAAGAGGAGAGAGAAAGATGAAAGAAATAAAGAGAAAGAAAATTAGTGAGAAGGAAGAAAAATGAGCGAAATGGAAAAAAGTTGATAAAAAAACAAAAAGAAGAAATACAAAAGAAAGTAATGCGGTGAAGGAAGAAGACGAACGTAAGAAGAAAATTTGGATGTGTCCATGAAAAACAAAAGCCATAAAGAAGAAGAAGAAGAAGAAGAAGAAGAAGAAGAAGAAGAAGAAGAGTGTAATTAACGAGGGACGGGATCGTTAAAATAAAAAGAAAGCGTCTATGTGAGTTGCGGAAACGAGAAAAAGTCAAACAACAACTTGTTAAATGGTTTGCGTTTTCGTCTCGACAATAACGATTTTCTTATTTTTATTTATTTATTTTTTGCTCTTTGAAAAACGAATACAGAGAAAAGAGGGAGGAAAAAAGAGAGAGAAAAATAGAGAGGGAGAGAAAGAGCTAGTGGAAGAAATATAGAGAATGAGAGAGAAAGGAAAAGAAAAAGAAAAAGATAAAAAAATACCGACAAACCACCCTCATTTATGTTTTTATCTTTCTAACTGCCGTAAATGGTAGAGACATACACTTCTCCCTCCAGTAAAGAAGTGTGGTCTTGCCTGAAATGGCGGTAAAATATCCGGTGATTGGCACTCTTGTAAACACAGAACAACTACAAATGCGGAAACAATAGATATCGAACGGCGACAGCAACAAAAAGTTGTTTACACTATCTTTGCCGAGTTTACCGCTATCAGGCAAGCACCGGATTGAATCATTACGCCCAGTCGGGTGAAGTACCACACCCACGGGTCTTGATGATGTACAATGTCCAGGTAGAAGTGATGGTAGGTGACGAGGAATAGTCGATTGTTGATAAATGTCAAGAACGCCGGTATCGTAGATTTTAAAGGTTCTAGATATCTTGACAAACTTCTTTTTTTTTTTTTTACAATGATGCTCACCCTGTACAAGGCCCGAGGGCCACACAAGGTAGAGGGTTATAGAGTAAGAGACATAGCTTATGCGGATGTGCGGAAGATAACGATTGAGGTTAAGATTGTAGTGATCGGGGAAGTAATCTCTTGGGAGCCGGTTCCAAAAGTCAGTTGTTCCTAGAAATAAGCTACTCGAGAATATGAAGAGAATGATCGTGGTTTGTTTCAATGTGCGTGGCATGGCGGGTCTTAGCCGTGCAGGTTAGGACTGCTGGAGTAGCGATAAAGCAGCGAAATCTGTGAGAAACGGATTCTGCGGTGGACGCGGAGACTCTTTTGGATTCTATCGAGAGCGGAAAGTGAAGATTTGGTATATGATGTACGAAGTTTATATCTTACTAATTAAACTGATGCTTAATTTTCAGTCAGCGACGTAGAACAAGGTTTCTTTATTTCGAATCGTCTGACCGCTTCCATCAATATGGGTTGTATTAATCCATCCCACACATCTAAATTGTTCGACTCTCGAAAGCAGGGGCTAAGAAATGCTCTACAAATTTTCTCCTTTAAAGCCTGAAGATTATTTCGAATGCTTCCATAGTAAATGCCTACAAAGCGAATGCTTCATATGTACATTCCCATGCCAAATTCACATCACTACATAACATGTACTTATTTGGCAATGCACTTAGTGACGTGTAGTGTTTACATTCATTTACAACATGTCAACCAATATGAGCGATGCGCCCTTTGATTACGCCATGCATAAACTGTTTGATCACGTGGTTCATGACTCACGTTATTAAATATATGATATCAGTTGAGTACTCTTGTTACACGTTCCTAAGGCATTTCAGGAGAGTGTTTTGAGATTATATATATATATATATATATATATATATATATATATATATATATATATATATATATATATATATATTTTTATTAAATATGTTATAAAATCATTACAAAGATAGTCATTTTGTTTTAACACTTCTGGTGTCTTATCAAGTGATGGTATTGATAATTATATTTGCTGTACTCTGTATTGAGCACTCTTTTAAGAATAGTATTTGTTGGTTATTGGAATTTATTCCGTATACACCAATCCTATACTTGTGTATATATATATATATATATATATATATATATATATATATATGTAAGCAAATATATGGATATAGATCCGAGAGTATGAAGAAAAATATACAGAAAAAAACAAATAAAAATCTTAATATGCAATTATGCTGTATTAATGTTAATATAAAGTCGACGTCGGACGTTTCGGTCTATTTAAGACCATCTTCATGGACATTTTCATTTAAACATAATTAACATATTTCAGTTATCTGTTTGGATTAGTTGTGCTCTTATGTCCATCGTCTTTTCGTGTTGAATTTTTATATGTTCTAATGTTAATTATGTCTTAAATAGACCAGCTTGGGTGTGCAGGTGGTGTAATGGAATTGTTAATCGGAGAGCCGAATTCTAATTTAAAGTGAGTTTGTTATATTCACTTACGCGCAAATACCATGTGAAAGGTATGAATTCACCTCTTCTCCCCCAGTTATGGGTTAATTAGTAAATCTTGTATCACTAAATCATAGGTACTGCCACTGAGACACCTCGACGTCGTGTAATGGTTAACAAGCTTGTCTCGCTAGATCAGATACGACTGAATAGTGAGTTCCATCCTCACAGGTTACCCCATAATTCCGACTTTGTGCTACATCTAAGCTACGCTTAGAAAATCACCATAGGTACCGCTACTGATTCGCTAAAAGACGAGCATATCGTGATGAAAAAATGCTGCAATATTAATAAAAACAAATTTTTATCATCAAAATATGCTATTATGAAGAGAAAAGATTAAAGAATTTTTTTTATTATTAAATTATATTTTTGACCATTTTTATGACGTTCGAAATTTTGGCTAAAAATCTTGCTTTTTTTGTGTCAGCGGGGTACCAAAGATAGGAAATTTTAGCGTCGTTTTTGCAGTGAAGAACACATTGATTTAGAAATTGTTGCCAAAATCAAATAATTGTCGGATTTTAATGAGACGTTCAGGACTTATTCACAAATAAAAGAAATTATTTTGGAATTATTTTTTTTTAGAAAATCCTGTTAAAAATATGCTTTTACATCTGTTAACACTTATTTAATTTTAAGAAATTTCGAGAAATTAATTTTTATTCCATTTAATATTTATATTACTTATACGGAGAACTCATTGGAGAATTTAAATCATCATTTTTTTTTTATAAAACAGGATTCCCTGTTAACAATGTCCTGAATTGCAAAATAAAAAAAATGGAATAAAGCTAAGACCTTATTTAATTAGAAAAGCTTTTAATTGCTTTTATGAAGAAGTTATATTATGGACTTTATTATGTTAAGAAAATAACATTTGGATTATTACAAGAATTTTTCATTTTTAAAAAATGAATTAGAATAATTTATAAAGTTTTGAATCTTTTAAATTTCTGTGTTACTTTGTACATTTTTAGTGGTATTGTCATTAAATAGAAACTATATTTACTAATCATAAATTTGAAAAGCTTATATTTTGAAAAGTGTTATATCCTAGGATGTTGAGATGAACAAAAACGAATGAAAATAAAAGACATGTGTATTTTAACATATAGTAACATAACTTTTATTCATTTACTGCCTTAGATCAGCAAGGATTTTTTGGATTTAAACTATGAGTTCCACGTGCGTGTCAGCTTATCACCATGTTGGATTCAGAAGTGCCGCGTTCCCACTGGCGGACAAGGGACGTAACTGCATTGAATTTTGGGTTATCTTCCTTTATGGGGAAAAGTAAGTAACCGCTAACAAAAAGAATTTTGAATTTCTTTTGTATGTGAATAACTGTACCAGTGTTTTTAGATATGACATTAACAGAAAATAAGAGCGATGACTATAGTAAATTTAAAGCCAAAGTATCTCAAATTCAATAAAACATTAGATTACGAAGATTTTTAAGATTACTCTGTTCTTAAAAATTATATAAAAAGGCGCCCAAGTTATATTTCTCAATTATTTTTTACAGATATATACATCATTAAAAACATTAGATAAACTACCATTTGTCATCACCTTAAATAAACACCCACTGCCGTGTTAAAAATGCATTTCTACGATATTTTAAACTTAAAGTAAGTCATATTTGTTTCAAATCAGATTAATTAAACTTTAATCAGCTAATATCCCTAAAATAAATTTTCAGAAAAGTACATTTTATTTTTGAAAGATTTTTTTAATAAAGATAATTATATTGTGATGACGGAAGGCTGAAAATGGCGCTAAAATCGGTGATGATTAGCAATTTCAAAACGAAATCTCATTCCGGTCAATTTAAATTAGTTTTGAAATACAGCAAAGTACTTTGCTTATTGGAAATATTAAATTTAATCTATTAACTAAATCATTTATTATCTCAAAGTATGAAAAAATTCTTACAATCTAAAAATATCTTTTGGCTTTAAATAACCTGCAAAGCCGTAGAAAACGAATTAATCAATTGAAACCTAAGTCTCATGATTAGAACGCTAACTCCAGTAGTTCGTTATGGGTGATGAAATGCATATTATCACATTGGAATAAAGATAAATAAACCAATTGATAAAACAAGTCAAACGCTTAAGATCTATTTTTCTCTAAAGATGCTTATATTATATTTTTGATCCGACCACAAACGTAAAAAACGAGAAATGAATAACTAAAAAGACAAAAGGGATTTAATACCATCTCATTTGCCTAATGCTGAATCCGAAGAACTTCTCAGTTTCTAGTCGACAAAAAAAGGCTTCATTTTATGAGAGCCTGACGGGAACGAGGAAAGTCGTAAATGAACTGTAAAAAAAAAAAAATAAAATAAAATAAGTTTTTAAATTATAATTACTGTTTTATTTATTTATTTTTTTTGCTCAAACTTGAATGAAATAAAACGTCTTCTCTACATATGGGGTCTTTCGTTTATGCTCTACTGTCAAAAGTTATGATGGTAGCCATTACTGCTTCGAGATGGTTTATAGCAGTGTGTTCTTTGTTGTAGCATACCAAGGATTAAAAGACGATGTCTCCACACACACACACACACACACACACATATATATATATATATATATATATATATATATATATATATATATATATATATATAAAGAGACAGAGAGAGAAGAGAATTAAGCCGTTTGATACTTATTCACCATAGGCAACCTGTCACAGAGGTTCGCACAGAAGCAGTGTCGTATTTCTCAGACGGCCATCTGGTTTACTGGTCACCGATGGTTCATTTTTCACGTTTCCATCTTTTTTCTTCCTTTTCACGAGTTTAATTTTTCTTTCTTTCTTTCTTTCTTTCTTTCTTTCTTCATTTTTTTCCTTTCTTTTTCTCTTTCTTTCTTCATTTTTCCTTTCTTTTCTAGTTTTCTTTTTTCTTTCTTTCTTTCTTTCTTTCTTCATCTTTACCATTATTTCTTTCTTCTTTAATATTATTTCTTTCTTTCATTCCTTATTTTTTGTTTTCTTTCTTTTTTCTTCATCTTTTCCTTTCTTTTTATGTCACTTTCTTCATCTTTTCCTTCCTTTCTTTTTTTCTTCATCTTTACCTTTCTTTCTTCATCTTTACCCTTTTTTCTTCACCTTTTTCTTTCTTTCTTCATCTATTCCTTTCTTTTTATTTCTCCTGGCATCCATAATTTATGTCAAACTCCTTTCTCTTATTCTACGTTTATTCTCCTTTACTTTGCTTTCGACCTGTCAATCTTTTTTCCTCTTCTCTCTCTCTCTCCCTTTCTACTTCTCTCTCTCTATACACACACACATATATATATATATATATATATATATATATATATATATATATATATATATATATATATATATATTACTCTGTTTATATCTATCTACTTTTTGTAAACACCCATCTGTTTTTCTGCTATCTTTTCTTCGTCTCTCACTTTTAAATTATCCGCCTCTGTTTGGTGTCAAAAAACATGATCGATAAACCAACGCGCGCACAAACACACACACACACACACATTTATACACACTCCCTTTCTCATTGCTATTTTATATAAACATGTTCTTTTATTAATGTAAATGTGTATATACTATAAACAATGATATCATATTAATACTGTAAATTTCGTATACAAAATAAAAAATGAACACAAGTTGATTTATAGACAGAAATCATAACATGTGAAATTGGAAACCATTGGGTAACAACTAAGCTATAAATACAACTTTCCCCAGTGAGAGAAGAAAAATTGGTTGCATGTGAGACCCACCCAGAAATCATTAGGGGGAACCGAACAAGTTTTATTTTTCACTTTGTATTTACGGACTGTTTTAACCAGGTTGGCTTTGACGGATATAGATGGAAGAGTACTGTCTTTATAGGTCTGCTCAAATTATTGTGAGGGTGTATGAAATATCATGTGCACAAGTGAAAATAAAAAGGTATTTTTGCTTTTAAATCGGGTATATACAAGCGGACAAATGTGCAGGTAGTGTCAAAGATATCGGTCCGGAATGTGAAATCAGCTAACCGAGTTCAAATTCCGTGCTAATCCGTTACGATCACTTTTCTTGAGAAATGAATAAATCCATCTCTTCTTCCTCCAGCTATGGGTTAAATAGTAGACTAGACGGGCGTCTCTAACCTAGCATGGCAACCAGTCTAAGACAAAGAAAACTGAATTCAAAACAGTGGAGAAAGCAACTTTAAACCACTCCCCACTATAGTCCCTAGAAATGCATGGTAACTTACAGATAATAATGTCAAGAAATTTGTGATCGACTACGTCCTGAAAGGACATGGCATTTTAAATAATGATATGCAAGTGGTTATGTTTTCAGAAACATGCAAAATAGCACACACAAATACAGCTATAGAACTTTAAACGCACCAGCTTAGATTCTTTTAATATTTCTTCGTTTTTCTCTTAATTAATAATCATTATTTCCAGTCGGATTAATTTCTCCTATTTATCATTATTATTATTATTATCTTTATTTTATTTCCTTTGATTTCTGACGTGTACTCATTTCTTTCCGGGTCCCGCCAAGTGACCTAAGGTTAGAAATGGCATCATTACATATTCCACTGTAAAAAAACAAAATACATAGACAAAGCCCTTAGTAAGGTGTGGGCTGTACTCGTGAGAACAATTTTTTGTATTTCTTTAAGGCATGGGCTTCCAGGGATCCTTTCAATTAGTCTACTGGAATCTTTTCCAACCAATTCGAGGGCTCCAACTACAACGGGGATTGTTGATGTTCCCATGTGCCACATTTTTGAGATTTCGATTTCAAGGTTCTTGTATTTTGATAGATTTTGGAAGATCTTCAAAGATACATTGCAGTCTGCAGGGACTGCCATATCGATAAGGAGGCACCTTTTTGTGTGCGATCTCTAATAACAATGTCTTGGCGGTTAACTTTGCTTGTTCTGTCTGTGTGTATTGTGTAGTCCCATAGAATTGTAACAGGTCCTATCTCCGTAACCGGGTCTGGGTGATGTTCATACCACTTTCTTTCAGTTTCCTTCGCGTAGAAGTTACAGATTGTCCAGTTCAGATATTTGCCCATTCTATCATGCCGGGTTTTATATTCAGTGGGTGCCAATACCGTGCAACCTGATACAAGATGATCGATTGTTTCTGGGTAATTATCACAGAACCTGCATTTTGGGCTAACACAATATTTTAGTATGTGTGCTTGATAATTTCTTGTTAACAAGCACTGATCCTGTGCAGCAAGAATAAAACCTTCCGTTTCAGCTTTTAACCCTGCACTACGTAGCTACTGATGGCTACAGGGTTTGTCTACATCAGTTTGTTTGGTACGGGCAGAGTATTGGCCATGAAGCGGTTTATCTTGCCATTGTTTCTGTATCTGGTCGGTTGCATTTGTTTTTGCTTTCTTTTTTATGTATTTTGCAGCTTCAATCTGTGTATTGTGCTTTGCTTGTATTTCTGCATCCATTTAAAACTCCATTTTGAACTTGTTAGCTTCTTTTATTACGGAATAAAGCGCTTACTACTTTCATGTCCTTTGACACATATCACCATCCAGTCTTCTGTGGTTTTCAGGTATCTTTGAAGGCCAATTGTTGTAGTTTTGTAGGACAGTTTTAGTTGAACTAATCCTCTGCCTCCTTCGGATCTGGGCACATATAGACGATCAACATCAGCTTTGGGATGATGCATGCGGTAGCAAGTGAGAAGCTTTCTCGTTTTGGCGTCCATTCGCTTAATGTTAGAATGTTGTTATTATTATTATTATTATTATTATTATTATTATTATTATTTCCTTTGATTTCTGTTTTCTTCTGGGTTCCAAACAGAGACCTTAGGTCAGACATGACTTCATGACATTTTCCACTGATGGTTTTGTAAAAAATAAAATAATGAATGTTTTTTGTTTTTGTTATTTTATTTTAAATAACAAAAACAAAAAACATTCAGATCACACACATTTTACATAAAGTTCTTCATAATCTGTGAGCTGTACTTGTGAGTAAAATTACAATCTGCAGGGACTGCCATGTCAATTAGAAAGCACATTATGTTTGCGTGGTCTTTGATCACAATGTCTGGACGATTAGCTTTGATTGTTTTGTCTGTGTGCACTTAAAGTCCTATAAAATTGTTACATCTCTGTAACCGGATCTGGGTGATGTTCATACCAGTTTCTTACAGTTTCCTTTATATAAAAGTTGCATATTTTTCTGCGCACTCCATTATGCCGAGTTTTATATTTAGTGGATGAGTACAAGATGGTCAATTGTTTCTGGATATTTATCACAGAATTTGCATTTCGGGTTAACACAATTGTTATTATTATTATTATTATTATTATTATTAATATTATTATTAATATTATTATTGCAACATTTCGGTCGTTTTGCTTTCTGTTTCTTTTTTTTTTTTTTTTTTTTTAGGCATCTGTAAATCCAAGTAACGTTCAGGGAGCTTCGAACTGAACATTTTATTTAATCTGCGGAGATAAAATGTTCTGGTTCCATTGTCTATGCATATGGATATCTAATCTTGATCTTTTACTACTCAGTTAAGGCTCACCTGGTTTCACCTAAGCCTAAGTCAGCCTAGGGACTGAACTCACAATTAATATGCTAAAAATTCAGGAAACTTTAATCCATTAGGATATTTCTTTCATCATGCCTCATATTTCTTTCGTCCATGCTCTTGCCTTTTCTTTCTTTCTTTCTCTCTCTCTCTCTCTCTCTTTCTTTCTTTCTTTCTATCCCTTTTTTTCTCTTTTTGTTGTTCTATCTATCCATCCCAATCTGTTCACTATCTATCTATCTATCTATCTATCTATCTATCTATCTATCTCGAATAGTCTTATACGCGGTCACACGTATATAGAGTAATCAATATACATTTAGCTATTCAATGTGTGGGGATTTGTTTGTCCGACCTTAAAGTCTCCTCCCAACATCATCTTATACAACATATGTTTTAAACCAACCAAACAAATCCAATAGAAGATAGGAACATTCGGTATCAGCAATGGAGTCGTCTTTTTTCGCCTTCGTTCCTTCTTTGCCCATCTATCTATCTATCTATCTATCTATCTATCTATCTATGTGTTTGTCACTTAATCCGACTGTTTATCTATCGAGTTCAAAATTATTTGTCTTTTTTATTGATCTTCTTAAACTGTATCATATTTATATAACTATATCGGTTTGATTCTATGCAATTTAATATTTAAGAGCTCTCAATTTTTCTGTTGCTTATCTGTCTTAGTTTTCTTTCTATTTCCGTTTCTGCTTTCTTTAGTTCTTTGTTTCTTTCTTTTTTCTTTCTTTCTTTACATTATTGTTGTACTTTCTTTCTTCTTTTACTTCTCGTTCCACTTTCATTCATTCATTCATTCTTTCTTTCCTCCCTTCTTTCTTTCCTTCCTTCTTCCTTCCTTCCTTTCTTTTTTTCATTTCTACGTAATCATTTTACTTTCTTTTTTTCCACATTAATTCACCGGCTACTTTTCCTGCACAGCAACACTCCTTTCCGTTACCATTTAACTTACAACATCTCTGTACATGACACACACAAGAAAGCACATACATACATTTTATATATATATATATATATATATATATATATATATATATATATATATATATATATATATATATATATGTTTCTAGTTTATTTAACATTTATACACTTACTTTCCGTCTTACCAGGGGTAAACAGGCGAAAAAAGTAAAGAGAAATAATGGAGTTGGGAGGATGTTTTCAATCTTGATTCAGCAATTGTGTATATCAAAATCGTCTTTTACTTGTTACGCCCCTACCTTCACAGTGTAAATTCCGGAAAAAGTAAGTAAAAGGAAAGAAAGAGATTCGCGAACTGAGAATTGGAGTCTGGGTTTGGGTTGGGCGTCTTTATCGCTTCGTATCGCTTTTATCAACTGCACCTGAAAAAACTAATATAGGCATTAATACTTTTATTTAGGCAAGTAGAACCATTCGATACACCGGGGTAGTTTATCCGGAGCGCTTTAAAATTAACAAAAATAAAAATAAAATAAAAAATGAAAATAAAATTTCAACCATTTTTATAAGCACCCACTCTCCTTTTCTCCCATACTTTTTCTTCTGTCCCACCACAATTTTCTCTTCTTGCCTTTTTACTCTTTCACCCTCACAATAATCACAAACTCCTCGTATTCGTTATCCTGGGTTTTTTCTCTCTTTCTCCCCACCTCTCTCTATTTATACGTCTCGTTTTCATTTTCTCTCTTTCACTTTCTTTAGCTTCTCTCTTTTTCGGAATCGAGCTGTCTAATTTAACTTGTTTTTTCCTTTCGCCATATTTTTCTCTTCTCGTTTCTATTCCCCTTCTACCTCACATTTTCAGAAACTCATTCGATATTCTGGTTGGTTTTATCTCTCTCTCTCTCTCTCTCTCTCTCTCTCTCTCTTTATCGCTCTCTTTTTTATTTATATATTTTTTCTCTTTTCACTTTCTTTAGCTTCTCTCTATTTCGGAATCGCCATCTCTAATTTAATTTGTTCTTTCCTTTCTTTTTCATTCGCCATAGTTTTCTCTTCCCGTTTCTTTTCCACTTCTCCCTCACATTTTCAGAAACTGCTCCTATTCAATATTCTGGTTGGTTTTATATATATATATCTATCTTTTTCTCTCTCTCTCTCCCTATATATATATATATATATATATATATATATATATCGCTTTCTTTATTTATCTCTCTTCCTCTCTCTATTTTTCGCTTTCTTTATTTATATGTCTCTTTTTCTCTCTTTCACTTTCTTTAGTTTCCCTCCTTTCCGGAATTTAGCTCTCTAATTTCACTTGTTTTTTCTATCTTTTTTATTCACCATATTTTTCTCTTCTCGTCTTCCTCATCTCCTCCCCTCTCACATTCTCACAAACTGCTCCCATTCATTATTCTGGTTGATTCTCTCTCTCTCTCTCTCTCTCTCTCTCTCTCTCTCTCTCTCTCTCTCTCTCTTTATTTATATGTCTCTTTTTTCTCTCTTTCACTTTCTTTAGCTTTTTTGGAAATCGACCTCTCTAATTTCACTTGTTATTTTCTTTCTTTTTTATCCTCTGCTTATAACTTCCTGCTTCCTCTTTTTGGGTTTTTTTTCTTATCTTTCTACTTGTACTTATAACTTTCTTCTCTGTTTATGTTGTCTGTTAATAGCTTATGTTTCAAGCGCGACGGACAAAAAGTATTTCTAATAGAAATAAATCGAGATATTTGCTAATAATTTGTATGAATTGAAGAATCAATTAAAATGTTACATTCAGTCTGTGAAATTAATTTTAATAACGATCAGATGTTTGTTTGTAAATTTGATTCCGTAAAACAGCAAAAACGGCACATCACAGCGAGATTTTTAGTAAAGCAATATTGTTAAAATGCACTAAAAACTGAAGCAATTTCCAGTTCAACTTGTACATTTAAAGATTAACAGCGCGGGAATTGAAATCAGTGATCGGAATTCAAGTTCTGGCCTAGGTTGTTGGGTCGCTCCACACTAATGTTTTTGGGAAAGACATGAATGTATTTCTCCTTACTAGATCCACTGAGAGTACCAGAAATTATGGGATATATAGCAAAGAAGACTGGGATCTCCAAACTTTAGTGGCAACCAGTCTAGGAAAAGGACAACTTTCAATTCAAAGTCATAGAGAAAGGAAACCATACCACTATATTCCTAAGAAGTCACGATAATCTACAAACAATAAAAAAGGAATCTTTGGAGATTCATGATCGACTATGTCCTGAAGAGACGCGGCCTTCGAAAAATAAAATATTGTTGTGTCAGCATCCGAGCTCACTTCGATCTATGGTACAAAACTGTGAAAAATGTGAGAGAAGACTGTATAGCATTTAATGGTTATTAAAAGTAAATGTAACAAAAAAAATATAATTAAGAAAGTGAATTAGTTTTGGAAAATTAGATGGATTGAGGCGTTCTTAAAGAATCAAACCAGAATATTAACTTGGAGATAAACTCTTAATTTGGATTTATATCTGGTCACTCTACGAGTGCTACTAGTATCATGTCACCTAGTAGTACCTATCACATAATCGACTAAAAACCGGCCCCGAAACCAGGATTTTCTAGAGAGGAAGGACGAAAAAAAATATATAAGAAAAAAAAGGGACACATTGGTGTAAATTGGGTTCCATAACTATTTACACAATGAATGCGGGGATGGCACTGCATCGCTGGGCGGAAGGCTTCCTAGATTGAAATCAACAGTTAGGGCGAAAGGTTCCCCCGATCAATCAACGGCCACATATTCGTGACCAAGGCGAGCCTTCACGATGGAGGATATAGGCTGTGGTTTGACCTGAAGAGTGATGAGTTCTGCCGAGTATACCTGCTCAAGAAGCACTACGCATGGATGGACAGTTCCACTTTTCAGTTCAGATATGTGCAGGGAATTGATCAGGTGCTCAGCTGCGAAGCGGCCCTACAACAACACCCAGTCATGGGGATGATGATGATGATGATGATGATGATGATGATGATGATGATGATTTGTTAAAATCTGTTGTTATCTTGCTCTTCTTCGCTGTTCTTCCAGAACTTGAGTAAATCATGGGAATCCGTCCACTTTACTTTCGTGGGAGACGTGGCTGACTCGGGCTTGCGATTTCTTCAGATTTTACCTAAACTTCAATATGGGTGAAGGAGTGTCCTGTCCAGCACGTCACCGAACCCGTGACTGGGACAAAGGTCCGAAACTCCCGACCGAAAAGAAAACGTGTAGAGGAAAAAAGACCAAAGCATAAAAGGGACTCACACATCAAACCACCACCTCTCCCCCTGGTATATCTGGTACCGTGACCAAGGTTTTTTGATCCTGAAGCCACCAAGGAAGGATACACAGCGTGTACTGCTACATTTAGTGATCAGACTAATGAACCCATCGATGACAAAATGTTTGTTTTTTTTGCTTTTTTTTTTTTTTTTTTTTTTACTAAAGTTCATTCAGTACAAGGCGCAAGTACCACTCAAGCTAGAGGGTTACTGAATGAACTTAACACGAGGAAATAGCAAGTGAAAATTACGAGAATATGACAGATAGTTAACGATTGACCTTAGACTTAATAAGGTTAAGATTGTAGATTTGAGGGAAGCGTCTATACGGGGTGGTGTTCTACAAAGTATTGCTTATTGGGAAGAAGCATTCGGGGTGTAACAGCTTTCTTACCAAAGGAATACGTAGGAAATGAGGGTGATTCAACTCTGTAGACGGGACAAGGCGAGTCTTGGCTGTAAAGATCTGAACCAGTGGAGATAAAGAATAGAGCTCGTCAGAACATAAGAGTTGTGACGTTGCAAGAAAAGGAAAGAGCTGTAAGGTAGAAAATAAGTCATCGCACACAAGGCCGCGTAAACAATTTTGGACTCTGTCAAGGCTGGAAAGTGAAGATTGAGCAGCTCAAGTCTAGAATGAATGAGTAAAAAAATTAGATTACTAATTGATTACTAGTTACTAATAAAATAGCAACCGTGAAATAATGATATCTTAATTTTGTAATAACAAAACATAAATCGTAAATGTACTTGGAGTTTGATTAATTAGAGAATAGTTCCCTATATTCATGTTCATTTACAAATATTATATAAAGGCCGACGTCAGTTTTACAGTCTGCTTCATTTATTCTGTTTTTCTATTATGTTAAACGAAATAGAAAAAAACATGAGTACTACGAACACATAAAATGTGCTCTACTGTATTTGTGTGCTCACTGGAGACAGACAACTGCTGCTGGTGATATCACTTCTACTGTTTCATTGATGCCTCAGTTCTGTAGTCATATCTTTTAAAAATACTACAAATTAGAAAATATGAAGAGTTGTACAAAATTCAACGTATGCATTTTTGGTTTGCAGCATGTATGCACACGCGTGATTGCGTGTAACTGTACCTGTGTATGTAGTCATAAAATTTTGCCGGGTAGTATGCTAGTTATAATATAAATTCCATAAATAGGAAGTGACTTGACATCGAACTTAATGGCTGTCTTTAAACAGATTAAATTGAGACTAATCGTACAAATAAACAAAAAACTGTATAAACTTAAATATATTTAAATGAGAGATAAATAATAAGTTGTAATACAAACAGAAATAATGTGCCAAGTTAACAGTGATATATATATATATATATATATATATATATATATATATATATATATATAAACGAAAGGAATAGAATAAATTGCAAAAACTGTCAAAGAGCAGATAAAAAGTGTAAACGATAAAAACCGATGCAATTGACGAAAGCCAGAAAGACAGAAAGAAAAAAATATGTCAAAAAAGAAATAATTGATTAAAAAAAAAGAAGAAACGAATTAAAGCTATTTGCTGTAAAAAGAAGAAGAAAAAGAAAGATATCTTGAAGGACAGAATGAATGGAGGGACTGAAAGACTGATTTAAAACGGGGATTTAAAGTGGATTTTTTTTAAAAATAAGTGAAGGAGAGCAAATAAAAGAAAGAAAGGATGGGTGAAAGAAAGAAAGAAAGAATGAATGAAAGAAAGAAAGAAAGAAAGAAAGAAAGAAAGAAAGAAAGAAAGAATGGATGAAAGAAAGAAAGAAAGAAAGAAAAAAGAAAGAAAGAATGGATGAATAGAAAGAAAGAAAAAGAAAGAAAAGAATGGGTGAAAGAAAGAAAGAAAATGAAAAAGAAAGAAAGAAAGAAAGAAAAAGAAAAAAGAAAGAAAAAGAAAGAAAAGAAAGAAAGAAAAGGTAGAAAAGAAAGAAAGAAAGAATGGATGAAAGAAAGAAAAAAAAGAATGGGTGAAAGAAAGAAAGAATAAATTGAAAGAAAAGAAAATAAATTGAAAGAAAGAAAAAAAAATGGAAAGAAAAAAAAGAATGGGAAAGAAAGAAAGAAAGAAAGAATGGGTGAAAGAAAGAAAATAGGTGAAAGAATGGGTGAAAAAGAAAGAAAAAAAAAGAAATAGGTAAAGTGAAAGAAAGAAAGAAAGGTGAAAAAAAGAAAGAATAGAATGGAAAGAAAAGAAAGAAAAAAAAGAATGGGTGAAAGAAAAAGAAAGAAAGAAAAAAAGAAAGAAAAGAAAGAAAGAAAGAAATGAAAGAAAGAAAAAAAGAATGGGTGAAAGAAAGAAAGAAAGAAAGAATAGGTGAAAGAAAGAAAGAATAAAGAATGGTGAAAAAGAAAGAAAGAATGTGTGAAAGAAAGAAAGAATAGGTGAAAGAAAGAAAGAAAAGAATGGGTGAAAGAAAAAGAAAGAAAGAATGGTGAAAAAAAGAAAGAAAGAAAAAGAAAAAGAAAGAAAGAAAGAATGGGAAAGAAAAGAATAAATTGAAAGAAAGAAAAGAATAGGTGAAAGAAAGAAAGAAAGAAAGAATAAAGAAAAAGAAAGAAAAGAAAGAAAGAAAGAAATGGGAAAAGAAAGAAAAAAGAAAGAAAGAAAGAAAAGAAAAAAGAATGGGTGAAAGAAAGAAAAAAATGAATGGTGAAAGAAAGAAAGAAAGAAAGAATAGAAAAGAAAGAAAGAAAAGAAATAAAAAAGAAAAAAGAAAAGAAAAGAATAGAAAGAAAAGAAAGAATGGAAAAAAGAAAGAAAGAAAGAATAGGTGAAAGAAAAAGAAAGAAAGAAAGAAAGAAAAAAAAGAATGTGAAAGAAAGAATGGGTGAAAGAAAGAAAGAAAGAATAATGAAAGAAAGAAAGAAAGAAAAAGAAAAGAAAAGAAAAGGTGAAAGAAAGAAAAGAAAGAAAAAAAAAAGAAAGAATATGAAAGAAAGAAAAAAAAGAATAGGTGAAAGAAAGAAAGAAAGAAAGAATGGGTGAAAGAAAGAAAGAATGGGTGAAAGAAAGAAAGAAAGAAAGAATGGGTGAAAGAAAGAAAGAATGTGTGAAAGAAAGAAAGAAAAGAAAGAAAAGAAAGGAATGAAAGAAAGAAAGAATAAAGGTGAAAGAAAGAAAAGAAAGAAAAAAGAAAGAAAGAAAAGAAAGGGTGAAAGAAAGAAAATAAATTGAATGGAAAGAATAGAAAGAAAAAGAAAGAAAGAAAGAAAAAAGGGTGAAAGAAAGAAAGAAAGAAAAGAAAGAAAGAAAGAAAGAAAGAAAGAAAGAAAGAATAGGTGGGTGACAAGAAAGAAAAGAATGGGTGAAAGAAAGAAAAGAAAAGAAAGAAAGAAAAGAAAGAAAAGAAAGGAATAGGTGAAAGAAAAGAAAAGAAAAGAATGAAAGAAAGAATGGGAAAAAGAAAGAAAGAATAAAGAAAGAAAGAATAAGGTGAAAGAAAGAAAGAAAGAAAGAAAGAAAAAAGAAAGAAAGAAAGAATAGAATTGAAAAAAGAATAGAAAGAAAAAGAAAGAAAGAAGGAAAGAATAGAAAAAAGTGAAAATGAAAAAGAAAGAAAGAAAGAAAGAAAGAAAGAAAGAAAGAAAGAAAGAAAGAAAGAAAGAAAGAATGGGTGAAAGAAAGAAAGAATAGGTGAAAGAAAGAAAGAATAGGTGAAAGAAAGAAAGAAAGAAAGAAAGAATGGGTGAAAGAAAGAAAGAAAAAAAGAAAGAAAGAAAGAAAGAAAGAAAGAAAGAAAAGAAAGAAAGAAAGAAAAGGAAAAGAATGGAAAAAGAAAGAAAAAAAAGAAAGAAAGAAAGAAAGAATGGGTGAAAGAAAGAAAGAAAGAAAGAATGGGTGAAAGAAAGAAAGAATGGGTGAAAGAAAGAAAGAAAGAAAGAAAGAAAGAAAGAAAGAAAGAAAGAAAGAAAAAAAAAGAAAAGAAAAAGGAAAGAAAGAAAAAGAAAGAAAGAAAGAAAGAAAGAAAGAAAGAAAGAAAGAAAGAAAGAAAGAATAGGTGAAAGAAAGAAAGAAAGAAAGAAAGAAAGAAAGAAAGAAAGAAAGAAACAAAAAGAAAGAATCTTCTCCACAATGTTCTACATGTTTTTAAAAGTCCTGTGATTAGTGTTGGAAATCAAATAGACCCTAGGATAAATTTGTGAATGCCCGGAGGTGTACTTTGACATGAACTAAAGTGTCATTGCCCCAGGTAGGATATTTTCTCGTTAAGATCAAATAACTAGATGCTTGCCTGACAGACCATGTAATTGTTTATTAATTTTATTATTTATTAAGGAAAACTAGGAAGAAACAGGGAAGTAAGTTCCATTCAGACAGCTTATTTCCAAGAGCTGCTTCTTCGTGGAACAGTTTCCCAGCAGGATTTTTTCCCAATCACTAAAATCCTGACATTTTCGAGTCTAGGTTTAACCATTATGTTTCCTGTATAAACCCATGAAATCTACTTCTTGCTTTCTCTAATCCTCATTCAACACAACATAGTAAATGTCTACCTTGAGTGGTTCTTGGGCCTTCTTTTTAAGGAACATTGGCATAAGAAGAAAAAATAATCGAAAAAAAATCCGAAATGACGGGTATACACGCTTCTTCAGCTACAAATATAATCGGGGATTATTGTAAACATAGCATTTACTTTCCTGGTGTGAAGGGTTCCAAAGATAATTTTTAGCCATGACACTTTGGCTTCTTTTAAAGCCAAAGAAGGCGGTAATGGAGCTAGCGTGATTGGTATGGAACAGATATAAATAAGAATAACAGAAATTTAGGAGGGGTGGAAGAGCTGGATAGGGATAGAAAGAAATTTCAAGAGGGTAGTATCTAGGAGGGGCGTGGAGGTAGAAAAAGGCGCTAGCGAGACTCAGGTTGTAAACACACCCATACTTATATTTATTGTATATTGTTCGACTTTCACATAAATTTCCTTTTGTATACTCCTAATGCAAAGAGAAAACGTTTTAATGGGGATGGAAGTAACCTAATAGAACCAGCGATACGGTTTCAACTCTATTTGCCAGTTATTATCTAGCGGACGCGAAGTTGAATTGTTAGAGCGATTGCGATCTGATCATGGGACCAGGGTTCGAATATCACCTTGATTGATTAGTCAAGAAGTCGAATTCTTGATGATAGCGTGCTGGAGTGACGATCCCAATGTGAAGGAGCGCCAGAAAATCCAAGCCTTATGAGTTAAATTGGTTATACGAAATTGATCGAAAGCCGTTGATCGTTGTGTTAATCGGCAGATAGAAGCTCTCAAGCCTTGGTTGGCAATCTGTCTAGAGATGGTGACTCGTTAAAAACGAATATCCCCCCCCCAGCAACCTGGGCCACTCATGAGGGCGTGTTGTCTTTAAAAAGCGCACAATGACTGAAATTCTGAAGTCACGTGAGATGCGCTACCTGCCGCAGTCGGAGATAATATGTACGTTTTTCTTTGGGATGTCATCAATGTCATTTTGTATATGTTTTCTTTAGAAAGACATGAACTTTAAATACTGCATTTATAGAGAAGATATACAGAAGCATATTGGTCCCTGTTAAATTTTGTCAAGGGGTATAACAGCTTTTCACTATTTCGATTACTTGAGCGGTAAGGTGGTCATGGGGTCGAAACATTTGCTTAAATGTTCACCCAGTCACTCAATTTTCCATCAACCTTCGTAGAATACCAGCGACATAGATGTTTTACCAATATATCGATAGAGCACTGATATAACTGGATTCATTGTTTTTTTAAGCTTATTTCTGTTAAGTGAACATAAGCAGCCACGTCGGGATTCGAATTCGGATTGCTAATTCCGTTTTTTGTTTTAACAATTGCACACCTTCACATTTAGTTATAAGTCAAAATAGACTACAATACTGAACTATTCAATAATTTCTTCTGCTTGATTTACTTTGTTTGAGACCTGAGATGAAATATTTTCCACGCTAAATGTTAATGTCAATATTTTTGGCTGATAGGATCTTCGGCTCTCAACTTAAATTACAAAAAACCGAAACAAATGTAGGAGAAAATGAAAAATATGTTATTCGGGAAGTAAATACAGTGTGTCAAAGAATAAATGTAACCGAAGAATCTAAATGCCATTTATTGTCTGTTTACAAACTATATACAAACCATATATTTCTGAAAACTAAAGAAGTTAGTAACTCTACTGCTACAAACAACATGTCACTAACTCTATTGGCAAAGATTTTATCGTCATTTATAAAATATGCTCCAAATGTGCTCCGTTCTGCTGAAGACACACTTGAATTCTACGGACGAAGTTGTCGATCACTTTGATGCCCTCTTCCTTTGATATAGCTCTGATTTCTTGAGTGATTGCTGCCTTTAGCTCTGAGATGGTGTGGGGGTTGTTCCTGTAAACTCGATCCTTCAGATACCTCCACAGATAAAAATCTGTGGGTGGGGCTTAGGTCGGGGGAATGCTGAGACCATTCAGGTTTGCGTTTAAGGCTGATGAGTCGGTTGGGAAACTTCTGGTCCAGTCACTCCAGAGAGACATTTGCTATATGAGGGGTGGCCTCATCTTGCTGTTATCACTGGTTCCCCCTCTGAATCCAGATTGCACCTCTGCCACGGCTCATCGGAGGATTTGGTGAGGTCAAGTTATTGGCACCATCTAGGGACCG